CTATTTCCTTGAATCTTCAATTTAGTTAAAAAAATTGTGAAATATGACTAAACCCAAGAGTTTCTTTACTCCTAAGGTAATGAGGAAATTGATAGTATATATGGCATATATTGACATATGGCCATGCTTTGCACTGTCCTTTTCATAATAAAAGCTGGCAGAATGATTATACTAAGTCATTAGTCATGCCAATTTGATATAGCATATAATCGATTAGAATGCGTGTGCATTGCTATGCATTCAACAAGTTTTGTTTCTGGATGGTACTGTGTTCTTACTTTCTTGAATTTTTAATGTATTGTTAGTATCATAATAATGTATGAAGGTTTATCCAGATTTGGTCCCTCTACTGAAGATTGGAGTTTTCTAATTAATGTATTTTCTTAGATTGCTTGATTCATAGCCTATTCCTTCTTATTCTCTTACATAATGTGTCAGGGAGCTTGTCTTGCACTCAATGCTGGAAAATGGTATGATCGTGTGAAGGCAATTTGCGCATTTAACGAGTTACCTTCACCTGTGCACGACGAGAAACTTCCAGTTGGCACAGGCAGCAATCCCGTAAGTTATATATTTAAAATATGTGCTTCTACGGAGAAGGCATTAAAGCGACCTTTTACATTCCACTTGACCTGCACAATTTTTTAGCTTGTTGGAACCTAATTCTCAGAACACTTCTTTTTCTAAATAAATTTGATGCCTACATTATTCAGCATACTTATTCGTTATTAATAAACCAAGGTTTAAAAGAACATCTACTAATATGCGAGTCAGAATTTTTGTCATAGATATACTTTTTTTTTTTCGCCTCGTGCTTGGTGAGTGTTAGGGTGTACAATATTGACAAGAACAATATGCTTTATGACAGGTCTATCTCACTGGTGACTATGTTGTAAAAATATTTGCTGAAGGAGGACTTGAAGCTTCACTTTATGGTTTAGGCACTGAGGTAAAAACATGGGCACTCTTTTCATGTAGCTGTTAATACTTTTTACTTTTTATCCTATAATCTTTTTCATTGTGTCTTTCTTTTCCTATTTTCTTCAGCTTGAGTTCCATAATCTACTAAATAATCAGAACTCCTCTTTAAAGAACTGCATTCCTTCTGTACTGGCAAGTGGGATTCTTGTTTCCGAACACGGATCGTTTAGAGTCTTTCCCTGGGATGGTAGAGGCATACCTGAGGTGATTGCCTCCAGCAATCTCCTCTCAGTAAACCAAACGGAAGCTGATTATCCATTTGGTGTTTGGGGCAAAAAACAATTTGAATATCAAAATGCTGGAAAGCAATTGCATGAATCTGGAGATTGTAGTAAAAGCTCGTACATGTGGCCGTACATTGTGACAGGAAGATGCAGGGGGAGAATATTTGCCGACCTGTGAGTAGTAATCCAATTTAATATTCTTTTGTGTTTGAATTCTTGCTGAAAGCAAGTTACTTATAGTTGTACCTACATTGCTGATTTGCAGAAGAGATACCCTCTCGTTAGGAGATGTTCTCAATTTGGCTTCCTTTGTGGGCGAGCAGCTGCATAATCTTCATGTCCTGCCTATCCCTGGCCCATTACATGTTAATGGGAATGCAGATAGGATTGACCATTCAGCTGAATGGAGATTACTTATCACGACTCTAAACCGGGAAAGGAAGGATGTTTTAAAACATTTGTCTGAATGGTATGAGATTCTTTCTATTATTAACGTGCTGAGTTTTGAGATTCACTTAGTTAAGTTTCATATATTTGTACTCTCTCTCTCTCTCTCTGATTCATTAATATATTGTATTTATGGTTAGGATAAGAATTAAAAATAAGGTTTACCCTATTCATAATTCTCGAATGTGTTGAGCCTAAGTGGCACGCTCGCACACTTTGGGATCTTACGTGGCAGCATTTCATGTTTCGTAACGAACGAGTAAACTATTTTTCTATTTTACTGGGAATTACCTAAAACTATTTAATCTTTCATTTTTTTGAATTACCATATACTACTTTTCTTTTTCTTATTTAATTCATATTAATAATTACTAATTTGCATTTAATTTTTCATATATGATATATAAAATTAATTATCTTTTAACGATTTTCGATTTGACATCCATTTTATTTATCAAACCAAATTGAAAAATATCAAATAACATTATAACATATTTTATATAATAATAAAAATCTAATTCATTAATACATCATAAAACAATCATTTAATGTATTTTTCCCATAGATTTGTTAAATAATTGTAGAAATTAGTATTGCATATATAATGAATGAATATTAAGAAATATTTTAAAGTATTAATTCTTGACTCAAATAAAGTATATAAAGAGTTAAATTTCATTATCTATTCAAAACAATAAATATAAAGAAACATCATAACGTGATGGAAGTAATTTTTAATTTCATAAAGTTAGAAAATATTAAACTGATAAGTATCAATTTATATTCTGAATTATCAAATATATAAATTTTGACTTGAAAACTAAGAAACTAGAGATACTGACTCTATAAATATAAAATGTAATCACATTACAATAAAACTTGATTTAAAGAAAATCAAATCAAATCTATGGAGTTGTAAATACTATTTAATTTTAAAGTATATAATTTTATAAATATAATAAAATATTACTATTTTTGGAAAAATTGATTGTAAATGCTGGTGCTATTTTGATAAATATTACTTTAATAATAATAATTCATAATAATAAAAAAAAACAAAATTATATGCATTGTGCATAATATTTTATGACAAGACACTCAACTCAATCTTTGTTGAGAATTCCAACGATCTCCTTTAGATTCAATTGTTAATTGTAGATTAACTCAATTATATATACTTTATACAAAATTAAGAAAAATGTTAACACTGAGCCTGAGTCAGTAAAAAGTTATGCAAATTGAAACTTACGATTTTTTTTTTGAAAGTTCTTGAACAAATATTATGTTCGTGTAATTTATTNGATCCAGCAAACTTTGATAAACATATTCGATTCGATTAATGGTACATCTTTATGTGGTTTGCATATGCAACTTCCAGTCCGTTAAAAGAAACTGTCTAATCCGGGGCTTGAATCTGTAGAATAATAATAATACTAAATAATAATAATATTTTAAAGTTTGATTCGGTCATGGCTTGGGCTTTCGTTCCTCTCCCTATGGTCGAGTGACTCCGTTCCTGGACTCGAAACCATTTGGAATCTGTAGAATAATAATAATAATAATAATAATAATAAATCTTATTATTATAATAAAATAAATAATAATAATAATAATAATAATAATAATAATAATATTATTATTATTATTATTATTATTATTATTATTATTATTATTATTATTATTATTCATGGAACGAAAGAGCAGGGACTGATTTATTGATGACTTTCTGCATTTTGTTAATTCCGTGCAATATCTGCAGGGGTGATTCAATTCCTGCCAACCTGATAGAGAAAGTTGACGACTACGTTCCACATGATTTAACTGTACTATTTAATATTTTTGAGGTAATCCTTTGTGAGTTCATATTGAAAGCATTTGTTTCCAACATCCAACTTCTGTACTTTGGTACCTATATTTTCTTTTTCTGTGAAGAACGAGACAGAGGTTCACAAATCTTGGACCTGGATACACTCTGATGTCATGGACGATAATATCTACATGGCACCTTGTACTTCAGCTTCTTTATCCGGTGAAAGTAATATACTTCATCCAACAGAAAAACCCGGTGCAGCAGGATCTAACAGCAGCAGGGAAAAGGAATCTTGGTACCCAAGCCACATCCTTGATTTTAGTGATTTGACTATAGGTGAGTTTTTTTTCCTGAATCTTTGTTTGTTGTTGTAAATCCTTCTTTGTCTTCCCCAGAAGTTAATATCTAAGTATTTCCAGTTTCTTTTACCATTACCAACCCTTTTTCTGGTGATCTTTTGAAACATCTTAGAATATTGAACTTCCTTCTTTCTCTTGTTTAGAATATGAATGGATGCAAAACTGGCCCTTTTTACCCTTTTTATAACCATAACTACTTTCTGCTCGAAAAATTTAATGCAGAAAAAGTGACTTTCGTTTTAAAGCTGAATTTCATTCTTAACAGTTGGTGGTAAAGTTGCATTCCTGAGTGCTGGTCTGACCTTATTAACTGAAAATGCTGCAGGGGAACCTATACTTGACCTAATCCCTTTATATCTTGACGTCTTTCGAGGAGATTCTCATCTCTTGAAGCAGTTCCTTAAGAGTTATAAACTTCCCTTAATGAGAAAGACTTCACCATCAAAGGTGGTCGAGGGAAAAAGATATCACCAACTCTCTTACCGAGCAATGTAAGTCCCAACCATTTTTTAGAAAGTTATGGCGAATTTTCTTGCAGAGTAATGTTAGCTCTCAACCAGAAAATAATAGTTGCAGAGTCATTACTGACGTAAAAATTCTCCATTTTAATTTATCCCGATATTTTAAATAATATTCAAAAATTACAAAAACAACTCTTAGAGTTCACGTATTGGGAAGATTGATTAAATAGCTTTGTGAATTGCACTCTTAGTCTGTCAGTTAATTTGCTTGAGAAATTTCGTTATATATTGTTCGTTGTTTATCAGGTGTTATTGTATTTTGCACAAGGACAACGTTCTGGGAGCCATTTTTAGCCACTGGAAAGAACTTAGAACAGCAACTTCATGGGAAGAAGTTGAGGAAAAAGTCTGGGGTAACCTAAACAACTACTCAGGCATCTGATAATCAGCCTGGTTTTTCAGCTAGTTTATTATTATATTAGAAAAATATAAGCAATATTTTTGAGGCATACAACAAGCATGGTTTGGATAAAAACGCTGCTATAAAAGTTTGGGTATTTGAAATCGCCACATGTGCCTGTCGAGTGTTTTTGTAAGATGTAATCACAAATTTGTGTCTTGTGAGGGCATAAAACATGCATTGTATTGATGCGCTGCTTATGTGAACTTGGTGTGTTCGTCGTTGTTCAATGTAACTGTACACTCGTTTTACTAGTGAGTTGAATAGAATGTTGAGATTGGGATCTCCCACTCTAGTTAAATTGTGGCTCTCCCAGAAACATAGATCATTTGTCAAACTTGTAAAAAATGATTTTTGTGTACCCACTGTTAGAGTAGAATACCCGACGTTTTAATCTGATTGGATCTTTTTCTACTTGTAAAGACAATTTATTGGAATTTATATTATTTGTAGGCATTTCTTTATCTTATGTCTTTGTATTTATCACATATTTGCATATATGATAAAGTTCTTAGATCATTATTAGCTATGAGACATGGTTGCGCATTTCATGGCAATCATGGAATATGTCTTTAAAGTTATGATCTTAAATGAGTTCTAAGTTGATGGGTGTTTCAAGACAGGACATGTAATAACCTAGTAAGACTTGTGCATATGATGCATGCTCGTCGGACGAGGATTTTGTATTTCATCAACATTAGCGTGTGGACGCAAATGCATGTATGCGGGTGCTTCTTGGGGAACAAGTTCACTAAACTTGGCCCGATGAAAATTCTTAGTTAGAAGTTTCTAACTGTCGAATAAGAATTTTCATGTTGCAATAGTACATGATTGATTCTCTGACTTGAGGCAAGATATTAATCTTGTGCATGTTGTGTTTTACTTTAATTTATCATTTGATTGCTAAACAATCATAAAAGGAATATTTTAGGTACTGTATCAATGTGTATGGAGGTTTAACTATGACCAACATACAATCAGACACTGATAAGTGAATTTTCTACGTTTTTCATAGTTTGTGATTCAGGCACCTTGGCCAAGGCGGGATAAATATGGATTCATAAAGGAGTCACTACACTTGTTATTAAATCAATTGGATTTCGACTTATAAATTTATTCCCAAGATTTAATCGGGAAATTAGTTGTCGAAAGAATTTTACATGTATGCACTTGCAATTGAAAAGATTTACACGCTATTTCACTTAACACTAGATAATCATGCTACTTAGTAGGTGTTAGCATGATTTGTGGGTTTTTGAAATTAAGGAGTTAATTTCAAGAATATAAATTAATTAAAATAATTAAAATTACAAATGAGTTGTAAACCTACTACTAGTGTTCATCGTGAACCTAAAAGGGTCACACCAAATTTTGAATGATGACATTTTGAAATTGGTATTTTCAATAGTTGGATTAATTGACAAGATTTAACTTAATAAAATATTTATTAATTAAATCTAATTTTGATTAGGAATTACTAAATTAATAGTGGAATTTTAAGTTGGATTTTAAAATTCAAATCCAAATACTAATATGATTATATATTAAAAACCTGCATAACATAGGGGATTTTATTTTTAATGGGAGATAAAATTTTAACAAATTGATTTTGAAAGTTAGTTTCATAAATTATAGATCATTATATTTAATTAATCTTTAATTAAGATTAAATATTATAAATAAAAATAACAAAAAATTAAAAAAGATGGGGCGTCAGGTCAGTCGCCCCACCATTGTTGTATGTATATATGAGATACATATGTGTTGAGTAATAAATTTAGTTCTCCCAATTACTATTAACTTGCGAGAGAGAGAGCAACAGAGCTCACAACCTTTTTTAAAAAAAAAAAAACAAAAAAAGAAATCTTTTCTCCTCTCTTAATTGGTTCCTTATATCAATTCAAACTCGGGTCGATTCTACTAGCGACGAACTTGATCCCGGAGTCGTAAACCAAAAGGTGGACTTGCTTAGAGGGAGACACGTGGATCCCTATGGCAAGACGAACGAAGACGGTGATAGCCACATAACCGAGAATCGATTCCCCCTATGATCGCTTTACGAAGAAAATTAAAAGTTAATTTTCAAAATTCTCTACATATCAAAATTCGTACTTTTACGTGATTTAAAAGACGCCGATCGTTACAATCGTTATGTGAGCCGAGGGGTTTAGTATTTATTCGATAAATGATTGTTTATTTCGTTTAATTTCTGTTGTCATTCACCCCGTACGGTATAGTGATGTAACGCCCCGTTTTATTTTAAAGAATTTACCGAATTTATTTATGAAAATCAGAGTTTAATTTTTTGCAAAATCCCAATTTAGAATTTTAATATTCAACGGGCGCTACTTAAACAACTAAAACAAATAAACATTTACGCAAATAAAATATAACAGTTCAAAATAAAATCTCAATTATTCATAATCCTCAAATCCAATCATGCATAAATAAATACTTCAACAGAAAATCCATGGTCTAACCAACATGTTCAACATAACTAAAACGGAAGCATAATTATGCAAGGTCAAACAAATGGTCTATCGAGATAATGAAAGCGGAAGCAAGTAACACATAATCCAACGACCACCACTCGATCGTCTCTCGTTACCGCCGCCAACCAATGCTCAACCTATAAAGATAGGAAGAGGAAACACGAGGACAGAAAAGTAAATGGGGGTGAGTACAACATCATATTCACCATTACCGCACAGTATATTTCGCATAAAGATCCATAACCATAAATAATGTATGCATAGGATTCAGATCTAACTCCCTATTAGGCACTATCGCAAACCTCCTATGTACATACAACAAACCTTCCGACCAGACATCGACAAGGATGTAACTGGAAGCACTCCCACCCCGGATGCAACGCGCGTAGGATCTTACCAGGAGACAGTGAAGTTGAATTACCCCTCCGCTCTACACGGATTCTGGCGTTCAGACAATCCCCTCCGCTCTACACGGATTCGGGCGTCCACCTCCCGAATGCAACGGGCAGGTGACTTCCACTGATTATGCGATCCCAATGAGGCGAGAGATTTGATTTGCCAGATGCCTGCCGTTGTTCGGGGCCGGGGCCGGACTACCTCCACCATCCACCAGCATCACCGGACACACAGTGTGGGGGAGTTTTACGTGCTTACGTAACTATGTGGTTGACCAGGTCTAGTCTTTTTAGGTTATTTTCATTTTCTGCTTTTGTTTGGTGTCATATCTTGAGTCAGTTTGTGTGTTTTTCTGAGTATGGATTGTGGTGGATTTTGAGATTGGTTGATAATTATTGATGAAGTTGAGGAGATGTGATGGTGATTATGACTAGCTTATCTTGGTGAACTTGATTGGTCGTTTTGTTGGACATTTATTTACCTTATGTGAGGTTTGAGCCACATTCATTTCGTTTGTTGTTGTGTGATATTGGTCGAAATCGTTGTCAGTTAGAATTCTCCTTGAGTCTACTCCGAAATGAATTGGTTGGATTTGTGTGATGTGAACGTGATCGAGGCATTCTTTGTATTTTCATTACCTTTGTCTTTTGTGGAAATAATTTCGCTAGTCACCCCCTTTGAGCCTTATTGATTTTCTTTCTTTTATAACCTCGTGACGATGATATTGTGGAGTTGCGGGTGGAGAATTGGAGGTGATTGGTGTTGGGTTTTATATATNAAAGGGACCGAAATATATTGGTTAGAATATTCAAAGGGTTCAAGAAAAAATATGTGTATATATAGGAATGATATGGATAGCGTGTTGGTTTGTGAGGATATGGGAGGAAACGGTTGGTGCTTGACAACCGGAGGAGTTCATGCTTATGGTTAGGTGAGCGACTTGGGTTGATTTGATTTTTATTTAGCCACTTATCCTATATTTACCCTATCCGATCCAAAAAGCCTACGTTACATCCCTAAAAGTCCTCTTGATTCATTATTGCATGAATTTCACTGTTTTAGAGTAAGAGTTAGACGATAGACAAACTTATGATTGATTCGACTGACGACCAATTTAAGCGTCCCCATTTCATATTCATACAGGAAACTGAGTGAGGCATATATGTATTATATTACCGTGCTTGAGAGTTTGCCTTTTCAAAGCGTATCGTTCGAGTTGTAATTGAGGTACGCTATATTGGTCATTGGAAGTCTCCTCGAGTAAGTTGATTAATTTGAAACTCGTCTTGTCTGAAACTATTATCCATGCTCATTTGCTTGTTTTCTTTTCTTCTCTTTACGTGTCTTTTTGGTCGGGACGAACAAAGGTTTAAGTGTGGGGGAGTTGTTTGTCCAATTTTTTTTGTGTTTTTCCTTATTGTTTTGCCTCTTTTTTTCCTCCGTTTTTAGGTCATTTCTTTCGTTCTTAGGGCGTTTTGTGTTTTATTGCGTGTTTTCCTTTAGTTCGAGTCTTTTATGCGTTTTTTTTGTTATTTCCCGATTTTTCGCGTTTTTCTCGTCGTTGGTGTGTAGGTCCGGCACCTAGTGAGGAATAGGTATGGCTCAAAAACTGACCGGGTAATCATGGTCCCGTAGAATGATTCCTTGGCAATACACAGGAAAAAGCGGATTCAAATTCCGAGCCCAGATGAGGCCGAACGAACCCGAAACGTGAAGTCGAGCAAGCAGTCCGAGCTCCAGCCATCCTCCACGCCATCTCCGCGCCGTGAGATCTGCCACGAGAACACTTCAGAGAGCTGCTCCCGGTCCCCGCGCCGCGGCCAAAGCCTCCACCACGCCGCGAAGAGAGCCCCACGCCACGGCTAAAGCCTCCACCACGCCGCGAATAGACCACCGCGCCGCGCCATCCTCCTCCATCCACGCCGTGAGAAGCTCATCACGCCGCTACACCCTACTGCACCACGCCGCGACCGATCCAGCATGCCGCGGCAGAAGACTCAACCTAGCATTCCATCACGTCGTGCCTAGTCCTTCCTCCACGCTGCAGCCAACCATGCCTCCATGCCGTGAGCGACCATCACGCCGCGAAGCTCCTCCACGCCGTGCCCCTGTAGTGCATCTTCCCTTGTTTCTTGCAAAAGTCAGGAGTAAAATGTTGGGAGTAGAGCTAGTTGAACGAGACTTCACTAGACATAAAAACATTGCTTCCCTAAAGGTATTTGGTCGGCACTTTTGGTTTTTACTCCCTCCTCAGCAGACTCTTCCCCTCACTTCTCTCTTTTCTTTTTCTTTTTTTTTTTTTTTCCTTCCTCCTTCGCTCTGCATTTCTTCTTCTTCCTTTTCTTCTTCTTTCTTCTCTTCTCGCTGTGATCTCTTCTTCCCTTCTTTCTTTCTTAGTTTTTATGTTGTTCTTTGTGTGACTTTGTAAGGTAGAAGAAGGACACTCTCTTTTCTTCCTTGCTTATGGATTTGGTATGTAATAGCACTTGACATTTGAGTTTCATGTTAATTACTAAGTTCTTATTTTCATTGTGTTTATGATGACGATGATGGCTTTAATTGATATGAATTCTTGTATTGATATTGCTATGTGTGGCTAATCCATTGGCTAGGGGTTTGGGGATAATTGCTCCGGTCCGTTCTCGTTTATGTGTATGTCAATTGCTCAATCTTGTGCGAGTTGAATTGATTAGGGATTTATGAATTTGTGCTTGATTGATTAATATA